AGCCTAATTAAAGGGAATCGACAGTAGATTAGATGAAGCAGAGGTTTACATCAGTAACTTGGAAGATAAGGTAGCAGAAAACACACAATCAGAACAGCAACAAAAGAAAAAAATCCAAAAAAATGAGGATAGTTTAAGAGGCCTCTGGGACAATTTCAAGTATATCAACATTTGCCTCATAGGAGTACCAGAAGAAGAAGAGAGAGAGGAAGGAATTTAAAACCCATTTGAAGAAATAATAACACATAGACATACAAGCTAGACATACAAGCCCAGGAAGCACAGAGTGTCTCGAACAAGAGGCTCACACTAAGACATATCATAATTAAAATACCAAAGGTTAAAGTCAAAAAGAGAATCCTAAAAGCAGCAAGAGAAAGGCAGCTAGTTACTCTCAAGGGAGCTCAAAAAGACTGTCAGATGATTTCTCAACACAAACTTTGCAGGTCAGAAGGGATTGGCATGACATATTCAAAGTGATGAAGAGTAAGGACCTACCACCAAGACTACTCTACACAGCAAGGCTATCAAATAAAAATTGAAGAGATACAGAGCTTCCCAGACAGGAAAAAGCTAAAGGAATTCATCACCACCAAACCAGTATTACAAGAAATGTTAAAGAGACTTCCTTAAGAAGAAAGAGGGAAACATAAATAAGAATAATAAAATGGCAGTAACTATGTACCTATCAATAATCACTTTAAATGGGGGGCTGGGTTTAAAAGGTTAAAGGATTAAGAAGTACAAATTGGTAGTGACAAAATAGTCACAGAGATGTGAAGTACAGCATAGGGAAGATAGTCAATAATATTGTAATAACTCTGTATAGTGCCAGATGGGTACTAGACTAATCAGGGGTTCACTTCATAAATTATATAAATGTCTAACCATTATGCTCTACACTTGAAAGTAATACAAAATAATATTGAAAAAATATATGTATAAATCAAAACATGTCATTTCCTTTTTCTAAACACCTTCAAAGATTTATTTTATTTACAATAAAACCAAAATACTTGCTCTCAGTGCTCAATGTGATCAGTCCCTTGACTTCCTCATTGACATAATATCATACTGTTCTTCCCTTAGTGCATTGGTCTTCTTTCCGTTCCTGCTTTAGGACCCTTGCTCTACCTGTTTCTTCAAATATATCTTCAAATAGCTGGCTTTTCTTGTTATTCAAGTCTCAGAGAGACTTTTCTGTGTGGGGTAAATATCACCAAGGTACACCTCTCTTTGTTAGATACATGGAAAATTATACTTCCAAACTTAATTGCAACATGGTAAGGCTATTTGATCAGCTCTGGTTAGCAGACCATAAGCAAAAGTAAATTGTGTCATTTCTAGGTTGAGTCAGTGGGAATCCCTGCTCAGTTTTCTGATTTCCCTTCTTCCCTTTCAGTCACATTGGAGAGTCTCACGTTGAGAAAGCAAACCACAACATTAAAGCGGCTTGGATTGCTGAGTCACCTCATGAAGGATTGCTGTCTTGGAGAGTTTACACACCGATAATGGACTTTGCATGAGCAAGAAGTAAATTTTTGTTATAAGGCACCACAGTTTTGGAGTTAATTTGTTATTACAGTATATCCTATCCTGTCCTAACTCATACACTAAGAACACAGTGTTAAGTAGCTTCTTCATCATGCTCTTATTCTTTGTCCTAACAATGTTTCACTTTCTTCATAGCCCCTAATAATATTTATTTCCTGTTATACTCCCACTCAACTAGAATGTAAACTCTATATAAAGAATCTTATTTGCCTGTGAATTTTTATATTTCCAGAGCCTAGAATAGCAGATGTTTAGTAAATATTTACTAAAAGAATCAATATGGTACATATTACATAGCACTCTCTGGGACCCCTGCAATGTATACATTGATCCTTGTGATGTTGATCCTTAAACTTTTTTCTTTTTGCTTCTCTAATTGGATAAATTCGACTCTCTTGGCTTCAAGTTTCATGACTTTTTTTTCCTACTTGATATATTCTGACATTGAACCCCTCCATTGAATTTTTTAGTGTAGGTATTGTATTCTTCAGCTCTATAATTTATATTTGATTCTTTCCTATATTTTCTATCTCTTTGATGAAATTCTCGCATTCTTCATGTGTTGCTGTCTCGACCTCAGCAATCATCCTTATAATTGTTATTTTGAACTCTCGATATTAGGTAAATCACATATTTCCATTTCATTAAGAGCTGTTTCTGGAGCTTTAGCTCATTCTTTAGTTTGAAACTTATGTCTGTTTCTTCATTTTCCTTGACTCTCTGAGCTGGTTTCTGCACATAAAATGAAATAGCCATGTTTTTCAGCCTTGACAGAGTAGTCCTGCGTAAGAGATGAAATGTGCCAATTGGCCCAGCCAAAAGGACTCAAAAGGAGCAAAATTGGAGAATGACATAAATAAGATTTAGAGAAATCATTTGTCACCCAGAATAGATTCAGGTCTGAACATAACTAAGTCAGTTCTTACCAGAGGTTCCTCACCAGAGATTTTCATGGGAGAGGAGGTTAATAAACAATATGTGTTAACTGTGATTGGCATAGTTTGTGGATGTCAGTGTCTTTTCTCTCATCCTGTCTAGTAGTTGCTAAATGAGTTTTGGTTTATAAATTGGCCTCTATACACAGAGGGCAAGGAGAGACCAAAGAAAGTGTTAGACTTCTCCAGTTTGATAGGTAGCAGCTTTTAATAAGCAAAGGAATTTACTTATGAGGCTTGTCTTGGCATCCATAAGATGAGTTGATCTCCCCAACTATCCACCAGAATCTTAAAAGTTTATATAGAGGTTTTAACTGTATTCAATCATGTATATCCTCAAGATGGTCTCAACAAACCTTACTATCTCAAGTCTGTGTCCTTAGGGTAACTTTTAGTTCAGGGAAGGTAAGCAGAACACATTCTAAGAACACATTCTAAGGAGAGAGGGAAAGGAGCCTCCAATCACCTGGGTCCAGCTCACGGGTCAACTGATGGTCATGTCTTCTTGATGACCACCATCAACAATGACATTCATGAATAAGGTAGAACTTATGTCAAGGATAGAAGTCATACATGGGATCAGAAATCTAGATTCCCTGTATGAATTCCACGATGACAACAATAAAGTGATCTTCCTCTGTGGTGTCATCGTGGAGTGCCAGTCAGCTACCTGGTAACAAGTGGACAACTTTGATCTTTTTCTGATAGAGAGGAAACAGTACTTGTTTTCTCTGATATAACCTATTATTGATTTCATTTTGTGTCTAATATGTCTCAGGAAGTACTGCTTTGCATGGGCTTATTGCGTATTTTATTCACTACCATGAAATGCTGCATAGCACACCTTCCAAACAAGAAATTTGTTTCAAAATTTAAAAAGGAAAGCAATAGGTACATATGGCATTGATGATTTTATCTTATCTCATTATTCATAGATGGTAGGCCTTATACATTGGCTTACTAAGTACTCTACTCTGAAAACAGCTGAGGAATACTGCTTGTGAGGTTGGTGTGCCAATTGTAGGATATGATATATTAGCCGAACCAGAAATCAACATTTATATTCTTTCCCACTTGTTAAAACTCCATGCTAGCCATTCTGGGTCTTTTGTGACTATATAGCAGCCTTTCTAAGAAGAAAAAAAAAAAAAATGCTGTGATTACATTACCTGGGATAGTCAATTCTGACTATAAAAGGAAAATAGTGTTACTGCCACACAGTAAGGTCTGAGATGTAGGTATATTGTTGACTCTGTGTTTTATCATTTCCTAAGGTAAAATAAAATAAAAAATAAAAAATAAAAAAAAACTCCTACAATCTAATCCATTTGGATTTTCAAGGGCCCAAATCCTTCATAATTTTTCCAACTAAAAAACTCTAGTATGGACTGAGAAAAAGAAAAAATGGAAAACAGTGACCAACATGGAGGAAAGTAAAAAGCCTTCAGACTACCTATGGAAGTGACACCTGTAATATCCACCTGTATTTAGCTATTATTCACCTCTGTTGGTAGTTACCAATATACCAACATACCAATTTTCTTCCCCCATTGTTGGACATATGGTGTTTCAATTGGTTAAATTTACCAATAATTCAAATAATATAGAAAGGTGAGTAGTACATAAATGGGTTATAATAAATTAAGTTTGGGAAGAAAATAAGAGAGTTTATTGTACACGTTTTACATCTGTAAATAAACTTGTACAAGGCACATTTGGAAATATGTGTATAGCAAGAAAGTAATGATGTCTGAGGCAGCAAAGTGGTAGAATGTACTAAAGATGACGGTCATGATTTTAATAAACATCAAATTCTCCTTCTAGCTAACTACCTCAACAGATATACAAAATACAAGTAGAGTTTAATTTTGGTCTCGGTGAGTTTGTGGTACCTATAGAACATTGAGTTAGAGATGTAGATTCAGAGTTGTATCAATGTCTATAATTCAGAGAAGAGGTTGGGACTGCACTTACAGATTGGAAATTCTCACTGATATAAGCACAACTGCCTGTGTTGATAAAATCATCCAAGGAGCCTGAATAAAATGAGAAGAGGTACATGATGCACTAAATCTTAGTTCTCCAAAAGACTGGCAAAAGCGAAGGTATTTACAAAATGTAGGAGCATTATTTAAAATGATGCCACAGAAACAGCAAGAAAAATGATTCAAGAAAGGAAAAGTGGAAATGATATCAGACCCTACAGAAGGAATTTGAAGGAGACTGCTGGTGTCCTAAGCAGAAAGAATTGTAGTAGAATGAAAGGGGCAATGTAACTGACAGAGAGAAGTGAGGACAGAGAACAAAGGCTTACATTTTCAATAAGTTTCACTGGGAAGAGAAGGAACAAAACAAGATAATGGCCTCGTGAGATGAAGAGTGGAATAAGAGTATACTAGAGAGCCATGATATGACTCAGTTTCTCTTGACTTGTAGAATTCTTGTTGCTATAAAATAAACACATGCTCACTAACTGCTTGCAAAACTGTATTTATTTTTCAGATCCAGTCGACAAAAGAACAAAATGCTTCATGAGAATTCACTTTTTGAGTGAGATACAAATGTTTCATTATTCTCACAATTTTGTGATATATTTTGTTTACTTATAAAATAAATACCTGCCTGTTACAACTGAAAGGGTAATATTAACTGTTAAGTGGACTTTGAAGTCGTAGTTTGTTGGCACTGGTCTAAGCAAGAACACGTCGTGATGTGCCTGTATCTGTAATTTATTGTACTACCATTGGGACAGTCAAGAACAATATCTCTGAATTCGTAGTTTTCTTCTTTGCAGCAAAGGCATGAATTTTCCAACTGAAAGATGTCATAATTGTACCTAAAAAAAATACAGTAATAAATATTTTTGAAATGGCTTTTGACATAAATTGACATCAATGATCAACCTCTAATTGTCTAAGTGATGTAGCAAGCCTTCCAACCAGTTTATTCTTTTTCTACACCCTATATCTCATTTCTCCTTCACTATAATTTTCTGACATGGACTAGTGATAAGTGATATGTAAGACCAAAAAAAAGAAAATAAATTCGAAGTGGAGATTTATAATCTCATATTAGAGTATTATAGTATGAAAAAAACATATTAAATATTCCATTTAATACCAAATTATTATTAATCTCCATATATTAATCTATACATGAAAGTATACAATAAAGGAAAACATGCAATGTAATATGTTATATCTAAAATGCAAGTGACAGTCTAAAAACATACTTTTAAGCAAGTGTTTAAGTACTCTCTATAATCTCTGTATAAAAATAAATACATTTGCCATAAATGTATACTTTGATATATTTAGAAAACTACTTCAAAATGATTCATCACTTGAAAAGTTTATTTTATTTCTCAGATTTTAATATTTTAGATATTAAGATCCTGATCATTAGATCTCATGTAAAAAATTGTCCATGTAATGTTTTAAAAGCTTAATTTTCTCTACAATGTTAGAAAATTAATGCACATTACACATTCAAAGAAAAACTCACTTGATGGTGTTTTTGCATTCCCCTGTGCATCTTGCCATCTCAATCCTTTTCCTGCAACCATTGTACTTAACAGTCACATTCACAGGTGAAGATCTGCAATGAGTATTACCTAAAACAAAATGGATAAGAGAATCAGAAATGAAGTTTAACATTAACAACTGCTAAGTCTCAGTTTTCTCAACCATAAAGTAGAGAAGAAGAATAATAACTACTTCATAATGTTATTGGAGGGATTTAACTACCTCAGTATCCAGCACAAGGTACCTGTTTAATACTTAATAAATGTTATATTCATTGCCATATCACTACCTTAGAAAAAGGAGAAGGGGGAAGGAGGAGGAAGGGAGCAGGGGAGAAGGAAGTAGTAAAGAGCGGGGATGAAAGGGAAGACGGAAGTGCTTCATTTTTGATATCCATATTTTCATTGCTGATCATCCTTATGATCTAATATACTAATTTACAACATAACTTGCTGATGTTAGGAGAGTTGGCTAAATTTCCTTCCGTGAAAATTATATTTTCTACCTTGTAAGCATCACTGGTTTTTACTAGGAAGAATGCTGCAACCAACATGAACAAGTAACTATAATACATTATGTACAAATATCAATTGTTAGTTTATGCATATAGGTTAGAATATCTGCTGTGTTAAAAACCCAATAGACTTTCCATTAATGATCTAAAATTTGGTTTAAAAAAACACCAAATTTTTTTCAACAGTTTACATTCCTTCTACATGCAGAGCTTAATTTTACTTACATGTATAGCAACATTTTTTTGAATCATAGACTCTGTCTTCCTATATGGATGAGAGAAAAAGAAAAAAGACTGAAAAACTTCTGTATTTTTCTGTAAATAATATAACATTTCTTAACTTATTGAAATAGCATTACATTACAAGGGGAAAATGAAACAGATGAACAAGCTGATCTCCCACCAGTAAGCATGGTGGGAGACAGTAATAATAAAAATGAGACAATATTTACACTAACTTTTTCAACAGTGGGTTAAAAGAGAAAAACAATATTTAAGCTAATTTTTTTAAAGTAAAATGCAATGGAGTAAAAAATTTCTCCTTACTTATTTTAATTGAAAAATACTTAAATAACAACATTACTACTAGATACTTTTTCACGGGCATGGATTTTTACCAAACACCTTATTATAATCTTAAACTTATCAATGTCTCAGAGTACAAACTCAATAAATGTTGAGATCCAATATTAGAATTCTAAAATAAAGCTTTAAACTATATTAACAATTATATCTTCAGGAAGAAAAATTAGTTAAGCTTAAATCTTCCTTAAAAAATTTAAATTTAAGCAGTTTTTAATACAAAACCCTACCCATATTTTGGGGGGATAAAAATGAAAACTGACACAAAGAAAGATCTGAACATATACATATGTGTGCTTATATAAAAACTTTTTATTTTTATAAAAAATTATTAACTCAAATCTATAAACCTTGAAAAAAATCATTTTTATGTTTAAAATAGCAAAATGACTTCTACAGTAACTTACTTCTTCTAGAATAGTACTAGATAAAGTTGTATAGAGCCTGCAAATATATCTTTGATATGAAAATACACTTGACAATAAAAGGTAGATGAGATAGGTAGAATGAAATCTTCAAAAGATTTATGTCTACTGGTCAGACACAAACTTTTCCAGATGCGAAAGAAGAAGGTTGTGTTTGTATGAACATGAGAAGTGAATCTTGTTATTTATTACTTAAGAAGATGACTTACTTCTGCACACCAGGTCTGCTTTGGGCAGTCTTGGACCACTGCAACGAAACCAGTATCATGGCAGGAGTAGGAGACACATGTGTTGTTGGGGTCACCAAATGAACTACCAATCTGGAACATAAGGAGGAGGAGAAGACAAAATAATTATTCAGAGAACAAAATAATTGATTTCTTTTTTTAGTTTGACAATAAAACCTGTAAAAAAAAATCAAATTTATGATATTTAGTGAATTTCCAGACACACTTTTAGCCATTAGGTTAATATTTAAGAAAAGGTGGATTAAAACCCTTGCACTTCCATAATAAATTGAAGTTCCCCAGAATGTTTCAAGATTCTGAAATTAAGATTTTCCTACAGTTACTCTATTATACTTTTCAAGTATTTTCAAGAAAGATTATTTTATGGTGAGCAGTCAATTGATCAATTGTTATACTCTAAGTCTGAGGAAAAACAAGAAATCTAAATGAAAAAAAAAAATGGCACAAAATAGGTTTGTCACTAATGTCAAGTCTACAAGACATCTTTCCATCTTTGCTGGGGTATCTATACTTTTAAAGCTCTCTAAATGGCTTTACAGTTAATTAATTTATGTTCAAAATTCAAACACCAGTTTGGGAAATTGTGTTTATTTCAGGGCCTCAAACCACAAAATGAACTTTCTGCTTAACTGGAATTTTGTTATTTCAACTATTTTGCATATAAATGATTAGAGGTAAAATTTTTCCTTTGTTCTTTAAACATCATCATATTTTATGTTTAAAACTGTCATAGATTCTCAAGTCATGTCATCTTTGGAAACTAAAAATTAAGACACCCAGATAGAAATTTGAGTGTGATAAATGAGTTATCAAATTAAGACTCTCATAGGCTTTGTTTTTATGTATTTCATAACCCACTAAATATAGTTTTTTTTAGATTTTTAATATTTAGTATTACTAGTTCAAATGTATTAATTTCGATTTGAGAATCATCTGGTTTTTACAGCTTCCTGATACGTTTTCTAAAAAGTTAAATTACTTTCCAAAATGCCAAATCAGTTGTCAAAATCTACCCCTGCCTATACTGTGCTGCTATGTTCACATAATGGGGTTCTAGTCTTTTGGGTTTCCTTATTTGATCTCTGACAGTTTGTCCATCTGATCTTTCTGGTTATAATTACAGTTTGACTCTGGTCATTGATTTGAATGTTACAAAGTGTATCTTCTCCATCTGATGAGACCTATGGGAAAAAATTTGAAGCCCTGCTGCTAGGTAGTTAATGATTAAGTATATTTTCTCCCTTTGAAGGGAGCCATGCTGAGTGTTACATTCGACATTCTTTTTGAAATGAATATGGAAAGAAAATTAACAGGCTCTGCCCCACCCGTTACCTACGATTTTTTCATATTATAAGCTGAAAGAGCCTACATTTATTCATAATTATATAAATAAAAATATTGTAAAGTAGAAACTACCTTACCTCATAGTTGATGTTGTTAAATAAACATGTTCTTGGTTCTGAAAAATACATACATTATTTTATCCTAAAATAAACATTATAATTATTTTTTTATTTATAAAACAAAAATTGTAAATGGGATTCTATTTTTTAGTCAATTATAATGTTCTTCCCATAATATTACTGCCTCCCTTTCATTTACTGATTCTATTCATAATTGTTAATTCTGTGTTTCTCCCACTCTAAAGATAGAAATTTTAAGAGAGTAAGCACTGATTCTGTTTCATCACACCCATCTAGCACATTTTGACATACATTAGTAGCCTAATAAATATCTCTTGAATATGCGACTATGGAAACAATTATTCTAGTGATTCAAATAATGTACTATGAATACACACCACAGTATCCAATTTCACAGCAGGTATCATTAGATTGGAACTTTATAAGCCTTTCTCCAGTTTTGCATGTGGGTGGAGAAGGGCACTCCTTGGCTTTGCAGTCCACAGCATTTGCATCAGTACAGGTGCATTTGTGGCAATTGGCAGTCCATGTGTCTCCAGGCTACAGATACAAACCAAGTTTAGACTTCTATTCAAATACAAGAATGACAATAAATTTGAATTAAAGTAGAGAGAAACTGTACTTACAGATTTCTCTTCTCCCAGTGGACCATGGCAAACTGTTAACATGAAATGATAAATGTCAACTACATTTGATAAAACATAACCATCTGTTATTTGTAGATAACCACCAGGTGGCCACCACTGTAATTAACACTAAGATTTCAGAGACAAAGAATTACGAAGGATCGTATGGTGGCCTCGAGGTAGAAAAATCATATCCACCTACTTTGAGCAAACTGTCCCTAAAAAGCATATATATTTTTTCTATTTTTATAAGCCCCAGAAAAGGAGAATTCTTAATTTCTCCTGGCAGTGGTCAATAAATCTTATGGCTACTGCTTTACTTACTGTTCTATAGACTGATGTCTGCCTCCATAATCCTGCAAGTCACCAAGACGTCATAATTACCAGTCTCCAGAGCCTTCTCAGTTTTTCAAGTTCCCTATAGTAGCTGACATCTCATCTTCTTGAAAATGTTCTCCTGCCTTCAGATTCAACACCCTAAAATTCCTATCTTTGTTATCACCTCTTCCTCCTCATTCTCGTTTTGTCTCTAGTTTTACCCCTGGTACCTTTCTCTATCTCCACAGTGTCTATTGTAATATCAAGGAGATGACTTTCAAACTTCTAGTTCCAACCCAAACACCTCATGTAAGCTACAGGCACAGGTCACCCTCAGCTTAATAAATAGTATCCCAACAAATCTATAAAAACCTAACTCAATGTAAGCAAAACAGATTGTATCATCTTGCCCCTAAAATCAGTTTCTTATCTAAACTGGTTTTCTCCTGTTAAGGACTAAACTATTCTTTTAATTATTTAAGCTTAAAACTTAGAAGTCATTTTGATTTCTTCCTTTCCATCACTTGGCATCCAATCTACTGCAAAATCTTATATCTTCATCCTCACTTTAATACCTTCCTGGGTTTACTAGCTACGATACTATTCCAGGATCTTATCCTTGATGTAGCATACTCTAGCTGTTTTGGGGGTTACACTGACACAGACCTCTTCCTTATGGTCTTATAAAATAAATAACTTATTTTGACATTCTGGCTTATATGGTCTGCCGTAATGTAGATCAATACTGTCTCATTTTTCTCATTTACATATCCTGGACTACTCTACATATTGTTCTCAGATTCCAACCTTGTAATTAAATACCTGAGGATTCCTCCAAAGTATATACTATATGTAAATATAGTGACACATAACATGCACTCTATATAATACATATTTCACATTTTTTACTGTGAAATTTATTTTCAGCCTTATACAAAAATTGCTTTTTTCTTTGATAATCTTCCTTTTTCCACTATATCTTAAGATAGAGAATGTTTTCTTTTAACCTTTGCCACTCTCAACAAAGCACATCACATTGGCTTGGGAATAGCAGGGATTCTAAAATTATTGAACGCTGACTAATCTTAATGGTTCTTGCTACGATTCAGTCCTCAAAAAAACTAAAATTCTGTAGTTTAAAAAATACTATCGAGCGACAATATTTTGATTAAAATATCATATAATTACATGAAACACTTTAGTAGGTAAACTATTTTGACTAACAAGATGTATTTATTTAGTTTGGCTTCATTAGTTTGTGTGGAAGAAAACAGATTACCATTCGATATTTATTTGGTAAATAAAAGCTTAATTCATCCACTTTAAGTTTTCCATTCTATAACATATTCATAGCTAGGGACTTTTATTAGCATGACCTCTGAAATTTGATTTACAAGAACCATTAATGCAGAATGATTGATTTTTAGGTGCATGTAATCTTACCTGGAGGAGGTGGAAGTGGTGCTGGGCATCCTGTGTAAAAACAGAAAGCTCACATTAGTCTCATTATTGGAATAGTTTTGGGGTAAATATAGTTATCTAATTACTGAAATAATTAGCTACATAGATAGTCTTACAAACAGACATATTCCCATCTATCTTCCCTTTCTGCTCCTCATGGCATTTGAAATTCCACCATTAGAGAGTTCCTTTTGGATCCTGAATTTTAATGGGAGGGGAATATGAGAATCTAAAAGAGCAATGAGAAAACATCAAGGTAAATTTCCTTTACTTCAAAGGTTTCCTGGAAGACAGTTTTGATGAATAGGACAGTAAAATATTTAATCAAAGAAGGAAAAGAATAATTCAGATATACGAAAAATATAACTATTTTTAGTTACCTAGTTTTAATCCTTCAAGAATATTACTCTCTTTTTGTCTCATTGAAATATTTCAATCTTATTCTAACTTTACCCCCACCAAATGCTTTTTGAGACTTTACACCTCACATATTTTGGTCGACACAACAATTTACTGATAAATTTCAAATTCTATTTTCAAACAGCTAAAAATAAAATTAATGTTTTTATTCTATATACCAAACAAACAGCTGGCCAAGAAGCAACAGAATATGTGGAGGAACTTAAAATTTCTGCATGTTTAGGTAAAGAGACACAAACAAATAATAGGTACAGGAAAAGCAGAAAGGAAATTAAAGATACGGGAGTTCCGGGTCTCCAACATCTCTCTTTACTGAGGGAGGCTAGGCTATTCCCCAATTATGAATTGGGGTCTCTGCTTAGCATATTAGCAGAAACCAGCAACAAGAGATCTATTAGCCACAAACGCAACAGAAAAAATCTTCCCTGACTAGAATTCCAAAATTTCATTAAAGATATTTATAAGAGGAGCCATAAAGAACAATATTATAATCTCCATGTATCTATCAAAACAAGTCTCTAAAACACTTATGATCATATAAAATCATTCTCTTAATAAAATCTTTAAGGGGATCCCATTTAGTGTAGGATAAAGTCCTGTTTAAGTTTGGAAATAAAGTTCGCCATGAACTCTACTTACCTTTCCAATCTCATTTTTTTTCTCAGAACCTCACATAATCATTACCAACATCTGGTTGATTTTTGAATTCACTCATGCTATTTCATGTCTCTGTCTTTTCAAAGGCTGTTTGGCAGAATTCCCATCTCACCTTGGCCAATATTAAACTCAATCATACCCCTCTTGATGCCTTCACTCACTAATACCAACTAAAAGGTAGGAATTAACACTTTCCTCTCACTGCATCTCTGGGACCATAATTGTACATATTTATGGGTTAGCATTAAACACACTGTAAAGATAGTGTCCTTGCCCATAATAATCTGCCCCCTACCCTTCACACACACAGAGTAATAAAATGGCAAGGGCAATATTTTATTGATGTTTTTGCTACCGGTGTCGGCTACAGAGTCTAACACATGTAAGACATTAAAGAAATGTTAATTAAATAAGTAACAAAGAAATTAGGACTTTTCCCATACTGAACTGTTTTATTTTCAGTTCCTTGATTTTCTGTTGCTACTACAGTAGTGTCTGAGGAGAAAAACAATGACGTTGTCATTTTATTTATTAGAATAACATGTATGCATATTGAGTTTCTCTATATTTGAGTGCATAAATGATCACACAAATTCATGCTAAAGAAAAGCTTTGTGTAGAATAGACAATTCCAATCTATTTAGGTCATTTCATTTTATCTGGGTAGGATACTTTGGGGATGATTTTTATTCTGTTTGACACAGAGGAGAAGCCTCCAAAAGAAAATGTTAAAAATTTCATGAATAGCACATTTCATAATCTCATACTCAGAGATTTCAAACTAAGAGACTCATAACTAAGTCTTCAGGAGAGGAGTTCTGGTGAAAGCCTAACTCAAAAAATCCTAGGAAAAATAATATATCCTGAGTTGAAATTCAAAGTCATGTTCCGAAAGGAAATTTATCATAATATTCCTGGCCTCTCTCTCCTGTTTTTTAATCTCGCCTGTCTCTCAAAAAGAATTCCTTATAAAAAATCACAGGCACGTTGATTATCAAAGAGTTTGTACTGTCAGCATCCATATGTTTGCATTTCACTTCCAGAGGTTTCCTTGACTCCTGTGGAAGCAGGGACTACAAAGGGAGGAAAAAGAGTGGTGTGTATAGCAGACTGGATAAGCTAGAGTTTAACTTCTGATAAGCTATCCTGTTTTTTGAGATGCCACCAAGTTCATTTATTACTACTACTACTACTACTACTACTACTACCTACTACTACTACTACTACTACTACTACTACTACTACTATTATTATTATTAACATTATTTCTTGGTAAATTCCAGAAGCAGTGGTTGTTTCAGACACTTCCTTCAAAGTACCTAAAAATGAGTA